GGTTTCAACAGTGACTTACGGCGAGTCGAGTGGCTGTATACTTTAAAGCAATAAATTGCCTCAGGAACTCGCAAAGCAAGCGCTAAAACAACACTCGACTGTGAAACAAATGCTGCTAATTAAAAAATGCGTCGAATTTTAATATAAATGTAGGCGACCATATAAATATCCTCACATTAACAGATCTTGAGCTTCTAACTTCTTTCTTCGTGTATTCTCAAATAAAAAAGAGCTTCAGGATGTATCCCACAAGACTCGACAATCACATAACAGCAAAAACAAAATAGAAGAGATGTAGTCTTTATACTCACCTCTCTATTTCAAACCTTGCAACGTATCACCAGATCAGTAACTCAACCAACATCCAAAACTGATGCAGAGCCAGCAGATGAAAATGTTGCAATAAAGACTACATTTTTCAATTAAATGGGAACATAAACCCGTATACTAACTCTTATATGCGAATAAGTATTGACTAGGCCCATAAGAGATGAAGTTCAAAGTAGAGACAGAAAAGGCATAGAGGTAAAAATAACGCATAGGTGCATGAGATGTGAAATCCATGCAGAATGCAAAAAGTCTGCCTTGCGTGAGGTCAGCTGATGCTTAGCCAATCAACGTGACAGGAAAGTACTTACTGAAAATCTTAAGATTCTATACCTTACTACACACACACAATGAACATGCTTTAAAGTGTGCAATATGCAGTATGTGAAGTGTGCGAGCATAAAAATATACATAGGCTACATAATGTACATATATGATCAAATTGTATGTTTTATTTTGTTTAAAGTTATTTGCTTTTACAACTTTACTAGATTCCGTTACTCTTTAGAATCTGCATTGTATACCATTTATTTTTTTATTAAAATTTGTCAAATGTGTTATTTGATCTCTGACATTGTACCTATATATGTAATAATAATAATAATAGTAGTAGTAGTAGTAATATAATTATTATATAATTCTCTTACACATCATATCAGTTAACAATTTTTTATTTAACTATATATTTATATATTTTCTTCAAGGAATTCCTAATGTCATGCTTGCATTTCCGTACATTGTATGCTTTTCAAATGTGTTTATCCTGTGAGCATGAGATTGTGTTCACTGATTTACAACTTTGACATGTTATATGGTCTGTTCATAGTCTGTGTTTGTTTTAGCCAGATCATGTTAAAATGGTTCGATAGTGTATCATGTGTGCTTGATAATGATAAGAACACAGTGACTGCTGGGTTCACCTTCCTCAAACGTCTGCAAGAGAAGTTTGCAACCCTAATGTCCACAAGGAAGTCTTACATTTTTCATCTGGCACTTTCCTGGGTCTTTCCTCTCACTAGACTTTGCCTATAAAATATCAAGTTTTCTGAAGCACCTTCTTTTACGATTATGTTAAACTTCACGCGTCATCTCTTACGTAGTCATACACTCTCAGAAAAAAAGGTACAAAGGTTGTCACTGTGATGGTACCCTTTCAAAATGTATGATATGGACCTTTTAGATACTAATATACACTTTAGGTACTAATAAGGTACCAATATGCACCATTTAGGTACAAAGGTGTACTTTTTAAAAAGGTACCACCGCAGTGACAGCTTTTGTACCCCCTTTTTTTCCCCTAAAAAAGAGAATTTTGTTCCTGGATTTATAAAAACTGCTATCTTTACTTGATTCATTTATTTCTCTTTACAATTCGATGCAGTGTAATCCATGCAGAGGAGCAAAGATGATGTCAGGGATCAAATCTGAATAAGGAATAACACATTTTAATAAAAGATAAATTGAGTAAATCATCCCCTTACCAAAAAGTAGTATACTAATAGCACACTTGAATAAACGTATTTTTCGTAAGGGTCTCTCAGGTGTTCGGTCATCTCAGGTCTTTGCAAGGGTTGGATCCAGACTGAAGCTTGTGTAATTCACCTCGGGATGCCCATCCCATGGCAGAAACAGAGAAACAAATAGAGAAAAATGAGCATAGCTGCTGTTCAGACCATGCAAAAAATGATGTGTTCAATCCAAGTAAAAAAAAAAAGATAATGTGCATTTGATCAGATTTAACTGGAGTACAAGGTTATGAGATACATTATGTGAATGCTTGGCTAAAGAGATGTGTCTTTAATCTAGATTTAAACAGAGAGAGTGTGTCTGAACCCCGAACGTTATCAGGAAGGCCATTCCAGAGTTTGGAAATATAATGAGAAAGATCAAATTAAAATTTAAAAGAAAAACATTGGGTACACAATTATTATTACTACTACTACTACTACTACTACTAC